GGGAGAGGGGAGGGGAGAGGGGAAGTGAGAGGGGAAGGGAGAGGGGAAGGGAGAGGGGAAGGGAGAGGGGAAGGGAGGAATTTTTCTCTGTTTTCGTTTTCCCCTCCAATCCCTTGAGCTTACAAACTTAACAGCCTTATGAATACAACCCCTTTTTCTGCTCACTTGTGTTGCCCAGTGTGTTGACCTACCCTGGAGAGGAACCTGCTCACCACCCCACTGAGCAACCACCAGCACTTCTTCTACATCTACCTGCGACTGACTGGTGAGTCTCACCCCAAATGACTAACCCTTCTGGCCAGCTCCTGCTCACCCAAAACAGCTCAAGGACAGCTCAACACAGTTCACCTGCTAGTAAAGACAAGGAGGTTACACTCAAAATTGAATTCTTTCCAGCAGAAGCAGCCAGCCTGGCAGGCTGCAAGGCTCAGCATAAATAATCGATCCAGAACACAAACGTTGCAATAAATTAGGAATGCAGCAAAGGGGCAGGAGGAGGGTTTCATGATGGTTGTTTTTTAACAAAGGCCAAGACTTTCAGCAGGGCTTTCTCCACGTTTGGTGCCAGCGATAGGACAGCTCTGCAGGGTGGGACCAGGCAGGTTCCATGGCAGAGCTGGATGGGTTGGGCCATGCTGAGAGCCAGGCAGAACCTCAGCCCTGCCCTTCCCAGCTGCCCTGCTCCCTGCAGCACTCCCACCCTCCCCAACACCCAGTGACAGTTATGTCCCTCACCTCACAGCCTGGAGAGACAACTCCCCTGCTTCTCACAAGGCAAGACTCCATCCTGCAGCTGTAAATAACCATGGGGCAGTCCAGCTTTCCCATCTGGTCATTTTTCAGCATGGTAATGAGGAGTTTGTGATGGCTCTGAGAGAGACCCCCCCCATGAACAGCCACTGCAGCCCTGAACGTCACTTCTTTGGTCACTAATGGCATCCTAGGACGGGCAGCTACTAGGATTTTACTCAGAGCCTTTGAAAACACTCCCTGAAGATCTTTTGTGCCTTGAGCTGATCTTCAGGGCTTGAAGCAAAGAGACATGGGGATGATTTGTTGTTTTGAATCTGGAATTTCATGGGAAACAAGATTCCTCTGAAGGTCAGAGCAGAATGTATTCCTTTTCAAACCCAAAGTCCTTTAAACATTTTCACAGATGCTCTGGCTGGGTTGAGAAGTCTGACAAGGCAACAGGCACACTAATGGCATCTGGGGCACAGCTATGGGAACAACAGCCACCCCAGAGGAACATTGATCTTTGGCTGTGGTTTGGCAGCTACCTCACGGGACCCTTCTCCTGGCATGCAGAGGGAAGATGGACATGCCCTTGGGAGCACAGATGGCCACGCTTAGCTGAGCACCACAAGAACTGAGAAGAAACCTCCAAGCAGAGTGCTTCAAGCCTGCTGTAAGGCACCAGCCACCCTGGCTCCCAGCCCTGCTGCACCGGTGGCCAGGGATGCTCCTGGGATGCACAACGGCAGCCTGGCCGGTGTCTGAAGCCACACAGGGATGAAGCTGCCCAGGGAAGAAAAGCAGCACCTCAAACCCAGCATTTCCTGAGCCTGTCCAGAGCAGGGTCCCACAAACCACGCTGAGCAGGGGGACACAGGGGGGGAGGCACAGGCAGCACCACGGCGGGCAGCCGGCCACAAACCACATCCGTAGAAGATGATCTGTTTTTGGGCCCCTTATTGCCAGGGAGAGGAGAAAAGGCCGAGAAACACAGAGAGACCCAATCCAGAACCCTGTAAGAGGGTCAGCACAGGATTTAGATGTGGATCAGGCTCTTTCTAGTAGACAGAGGGATGAAAGAAACCTGTGAGGAGAAGTGGCACAGGCTACAGCCTCAGCTGGTGTGCCTATGATCCTCTGAAAATAAAAATCTGCTCACAGTTTCTCCTCTCCCAGTCTCTTCATGCTTCACCTCCAAATCAGCAGCAGTTTCACTTTGCCTCATTACATTTTTCAGCACCTTCTCCCAGGAAAAGTGCCTTTCTCCCTGCCTGCATATGCCGTGGGGGACGTCAGCAGCGAGATCAGCCCCACATTCAGCTGCCCCTCAACCACAGTACCAGTTTTTTCATTTAATCTCAAGAAGAAATGCTCTTTGGTGACATATGCTTGTGTTTTCTTCTTGAGATAACCCTCAGCTTTGCTTTCCTGAATGAAGCAGGTGAA